CGTAAGTTGGGGCGTGTGAGGAAACAGGAGAGGGCTTGCCCAACAGCAGGGTCCCTCCTGGGCAGTGTGAGCCGCAAAGCACATGGGAGCCTCGCTGGGCACTGCTGTGCACGCCCGTCCCGTCCCGCAGGGTGTGCCCTTCTCTCCCGGGCTCCGTTTTCCTCCCCAAGATGGGGGCCTTTTGGCCAAAACCGGACAGGGCCCGGTCAGGGGAGGGTAGAGGGTCTTTGGCAACAGATGGGTCAGCCGTTGGGGAATCTGTTCAGGTGCTGAACCCCGACAAGAGTCCAGACGAAGACAGCGTGGTGATCACAGACGACTCCGAGAAGCAGCTGGAGAGTGGGGAGGTGCGTGCCGGGAGGGCGGGACGGGCGGACACAGGGCAGGTGACGGGAGGCATCACGAAGGGACCCTGCAGGACAAGAGCTCAGACAGTGAGGACGAGAGACACTCAGCCGGCGAGGAGGACAGCGACGAGGAGGACAGCGATGAGGAGGACCGGGACGGGGATGTGGACCAGGGCTTCCGGGAGCAGCTCATGGCCGTGCTGCAGGCGGGGAAGGCGCTGGTGAGTGGCGGGGGCGGGGGGGCGGGAGACCCTGCGCCTGCAGCCTGCGGCCGGCCGCTCAGCGGGTGTGTGTCCCTCAGGGCGCGGTGGACGGGGAGGACGACGACGATGAGGAGCTGGGGGATGAGGCCATGATGGCCCTGGATCAGAGCCTCGCTAGCCTCTTCGCCGAGCAGAAGCTACGCATCCAGGCCCGGAAGGACGAGAAGAACAAGCTGCGGAAGGAGAAGGTGCTCCGGCGAGACTTCCAGATCCGGGTGAGCGCGAGAGCCGCCAGCAGGGCGTCCCCCGCCCCCCGCCCCCGCCTCGCACCCGCTGACCCGCCCGTGCCGGCCCCAGGTCCTGGACCTGGTCGAGGTGCTGGTGACCAAGCAGCCAGAGAACCCGCTGGTCCTGGAGCTCCTGGAGCCCCTGCTGGACGTCATCCGGCGCAGCATGCGCACCAGCAGCTCCAAGCAAGAGCAGGACCTCCTGCACAAGACAGCGCGCATCTTCACGTGAGTGTCGCGGCCAGCATAGGCTGCTGCCCAGGCTCCGTGCCAGACACGTGGTTCTGGGGACCGGGGCCGTGGCAGGGGCTGGATGGGAGACAGGAGCGCAGAGCGTGGGGGCGCCCGACCCAGTCTCGAGGTACCGGGAGCCGTCACGTTCCCCAGGCCTGGAGGTCGTGGGCGAGGGCGGAAGGCTGTCGCTCCATGGGGACGGGTCAGACGCGGGCGGAGCAGAGCCTCAGGGACCAGACGCAGCGGTGTTCTCAGCGAGGGCTTTGGCCGGGGCAGCTCTGCCTTTAGGAACAGGCAGTGGGTGGGCTCTTGGGGAGGGGGCCCCGCAGGAAAGAGGATGTGGGGGTGCGGACCTGCCTTCCCGAGCGCGGATGTGGCCCGGGGCCTTGAGGGGCCGAGCGAATGTCACGGAGATGCTGGTGGAGCGGGACAGACTGCGCACCCCCCGGCGCCCCCCCGACCTGTCTCCTGGCCGGCCCCAGGTCGCGCTTGCTCGGCTAGCTGTCCCCGCCGCCTGCCGGGGTTGAGGTGGTTGCGTGACCTAGTTCTTGTGCCCTGAGCACCGCAGACCCGAGTCTTAGGGCCCGATGCCCCGAGCCAGGGGAGGGTGTCAGGTTTGCCCGTGGGTAGGCTTAGCCCCGGAGCCGGTTTCTCCTCCGGCTCATCCTGGGTGCCTGCCCCTGCCGCCGTGGCCAGTCCCTGTCTCCCTGCCTGTGGACTGCGGACGCGCGTGTCCCCCCCCCCCCCCCGCTCCCCCCGGCGCTGGCTCTGCTCGGCGGGGAGGGCCACGAGGGGGACACGTGGTGACCGCTCCGCCCACGGCCCCACAGACACCTGTGTCGCTCCCGGCATTGCTGCCACGACGTGGGCCGCGGCGTGGGCTCTCTGTACGCGCAGGTGGGGCAGCTGGTGCAGCAGGCCGGCCGCCAGGCCGACGCCTCCGTCTCCCTGTACCACTTCAACGCGGCCCTCTATCTGCTCCGCGTTTTGAAGGGCGGTGTTGCCGCCGCCTCGGCCTGCCAGCCCCAGAAGAAGGAGAAAGCCGGCCCCAGGCCCAAGGGCCCAGAGGTGAGCTGGCCCTGGCCCAGGAGGCCTCGGCAGCCGGGACCACCTGCCCGGCTCACGGAGGGGGAGTGGAGGCCACGGCTCCCGGGACCCGGCTCTCAGCCCCCTGCGGACGGCCCTGCCCCGCACTCGGCCCGGCATCACGCGGGCACGCTCTACCCTGGCACAGGCTTCCGGCTGCTTGGATCTGAGCCTCGTGACCCCGATCTACTCCTCAGCGCTGATCTCCTTCCTGACCAGGCGCAACAGCCCGCTCACCATCCCGATGTTCCTCAGCCTCTTCTCCCGGCACCCAGTGCGTGTGGGGGCCGGTCCTCCCCGGGGCCCCGTTCGGCACGGGGCCCGGCTCACGGCCCCGTCGTTCCCTCCGTAGGTGCTCTGTAAGAGCCTGCTCCCCGTCGTGATCCAGCACGTGACGGGCCAGGCGCGGCCCCGCCATGAGGTAGGGACTTCCCGGATCCCAGCCCCGGGCCTGTGGGAATTACCCGCATGACTCGCCTTAGGCCGGGTGTTTGGGAGGCCCGGGAGGTGCTCTGCGAGGGCGGACCCACCCCTGCCTTTCTGACCTGGCCCTGCCGTTGGCACAGAGTCACTGTCGGGAGGGGAAGCTTTGCACCCCCCAACCACCTGCCACCCGGGGTGGCCTGAGCCCCGAGCGCCTTAACATGCACGCTTGGACCTGGCTGTCCCCTGGGGCCGGGCTGACGGGCAGGCCTGGGGGGGTGGGATGGGGGCTCGTGAGGCTGCAGGAGGGTGGCACTGAGCCGGTGAGTGGGCCGGGCACTGTCCCCACTGCCCCTGCCTGAGCAGAGGGCCCAGGCGGTGGCTGCACCCAGAGCTGCCAGGACAGGTGGTGGGACCCGGAGCAGGAGCTTGGGGCCCGTGGGGGCTGCCTGTGGCTCCGCGAGCTCCAGGTCTGTGCACTGAGGCCCCCGTGGCCCTCCAGGCCCAAGCCTGCATGCTGCTCCAGAAGGCCTTGCCCACGCGGGAGCTGCGGCTGTGCTTCGAGGACCCTGAGTGGGAGGAGCTGGTCAGCCAGGTCCTGGCGCAGGTCACGGAGGTAAGGGCTGTGGGGTCCCTGCCCACATTCCCATCCCGAGTGGGTCTCTGGCGCCCTGGGCCTCGGCTGGGTCTGGGCTGCGCCCAGGAGTGTTCCCTCTCTCAAGGCTTTGGTGTTGAGCGGGTGTCTCCCCCTAGAACCTGCGGACACTGGGTGAGGCACAGACCAAGTCGGAGCAGCAGAAAGAGCTGTCCTCCTTGGGGCTGCTCAACACCCTCTTCAGGACCATCCATCAGGAGGTGGGAGACCGTCCCTGCACGGGCCAGGAGGCGGGTGGGCGAGCGGGGAGCGTGGGCAGGGTTGAGGGTGAGCCCGCCCCACAGGAGGGCCCTGGGAAGGGCCCGGCAGGCAGGTGTCTAGGCCCGGGGGTGCTGGGCACGTGGAGGGAGGCGCTCGTGGGCCGTGAGGCAGCTGGGGCGGCGGTTACCCCGTCCAGCCCAGGAGGGAAGGCCTGCAGGTCCTCCGTGAGGACGCTGGCCGGAGCCCACATGCAGGGCACCACGGGGAGGGGACGTCTGGGCCAAGGCCATGTGGGCCACGGGCACGCCCAGGGAGCAGCCCAGAGAGAGGCCGAGAAGAGCCAGGAGGGGGTTCTGGAGGCCAGTGGGTTTCGGAATTAACCCATTCAGTGCGCGGCAGGCAGGCGCAGCGGGAAGGCGAGCTTGGAGCGGAGGGAGGCCTGAGTGGGGAGCAAGAAGTTGGGCCTGTGCCTGTGGGCGGCGGGAGCAACTGCGGCTCAGGGGCTCTTCCCTCCGAGGTGAGGCAGGAGAGGCGGCGAGGGTGGGAGGACGGGGGACCCAGAGCCAGGAGTGTCCCCCGCCTCTGATCACTGCTGCAGCCACCATGTCCCCTGTCCCGCAGAAGCTGACCGTGGACCTGACTGCCGTGCTGGGCGTGCTGCAGAGTCAGCAGCAGAAGCTGCCGTCGGGGGAGCGCGCGGGCGGTTCCAGCCGCCTCTGCGACCTCTACTGGCAGGCCATGAAGGCCCTCGGGGTCCAGTAGGTTCTGGGAGGGGCTGGGGACGCCCTCGTGCTGCACGCGCTCTGACGTGGGTGCCTCGGGGTCCCGTGGAGCGCAGGGGGGTCACTCCCCTCCCCGCCGCACACTTCCTTACTCGGCACGCGGTCTCCTAGGCGCCCCAAGGCGGAGAAGAAGGACGCCAAGCAAGTCCCCAGCGTCACACAGAGCCCCGTTAGCACGAAGAGGAAGAAAAAGGGGTTTTTGCCAGAGACCAAGAAGCGCAAGAAGCGCAAGTCAGAGGGTGCGGCGCCCGAGGAGGAGGCCAAGCCCGCAGCCTCCGGGGGGGACCAGCCCCCCAGCACAGGCAAGAAGAGGAGGAACAAGAGGAAGGCCCGGAGTCCGGCCCAGGCCCAGGCGACACCTGCCACCAAGAGGCCGGTCTCAGACACCACCAGCACCGGCCCTGCCACTCCGGCCACAACCCCAAAGCTGCAGAAGAAAAAGCGGAGGCTGTCCCAGGGGCACGGAGCCACGCCCGGGTCCCCCGCGGCACCTGCCGGCAAGAAGCCGCCTCAGAAGGATCTGCCGGAGAAGGGCGTGTCTGGCAAGTCGCCCCAGTCCGCGCTGCCGCGGAAGAAGGCCAGGCTGTCCTTGGTCAGCAGGAGCCCCAGCCTCCTCCAGAGCGGGGCCAAGAGAAAGAAAGCGTCGCTCAAGAAGGCCAGGAAGCCCTGAGCCCCCCGGTTTGCACCGCACGAAGTACCAGCGTCCGGCACTGGCGGGAGCGTGTCCGCGGGGCCCCTCGTGTCCCCACCCCAGGCTGCCCTGCCCTGGGAGCCAGCGCGGCGTGGTTTAAATAGGTTTATTCCTTCATTTACAAGAGGAATGTATTTGGCTTCTCTTAAGACTCTGAGATTCACAATCAGCAGCTCTAAAAAATAAAGGAGCGGCTTGGCTTCCGGAAGGAAGAACAGGCAACACTTGGACTGGTTCTTGTACAACAAGAAAACGTCGCTGGGGGTCCCACCCGGTAGGTGCCCCGGAGCCCGCACACGCTGAAGCCGCACCAGCTGCTCGGCACGGGCCGGGCGGCTTGCGGGGGCTCCTGCGGCCACCTGGGTTCCAGCCGCCGTGCGGGGAGCGCGGGGAGCGGGCAGAGGAGCAGCGCAGACGGTGGGCGGCCCACGTGCGGGGTGGGCCTCGACCCCCCGGCCCTGGCCTGGGGCAGGAAGCCTCGTGGGGTGGCCACGTCCTCGTCAGCCAGAGCCCTGGCAGCTGCCGTGCGGGTTCTGGGAATAGTCCCCTGGGTCCTGCCCCTGGAAGGGCCCAGTCTGGGGGGGGGCAGGAGTCTGTGCCAGGGGTGGGGGAGGGGAGGCGGGCGGCCATGGGGCTCGGGCCTGGGGACATAGGTGGGGTGGAGATGCCGCCAGGGCCTTCGCCCCCGGAGATGCCAGCCCCCTGGCGGATGGCCCGACGGGGGGGGGGGGGAACCCTGTGGGCATAGAGCCAGCCGGGCAGCCGAGACCCGTGTCCTCTGAGGGGGACCAGCCAGGCTCTGCCCAGTTGAGTCCGTCCCCGAGCCTGAGGTGCCGCCCTGAGGCTGGACCGCCTTCTCTCCGCGGTCCGGGAGCCCTGTGTCTTCAAAGCTGCCACGTGGGGAGGTCCAGCCGCCGGGCCCCGCAGGCTGGGGAGGGCAGAGGCCTGCCCGGGACCCCGTAAGGCGGGGACAGGCCAGGCTCTCCCCACATGCCTGGTGGGGGCTGTCTTCGTCCCGGGCCCCGGGGGGTCTGCAGCCCGGCCCTGGGGCTGGGAGTCTGTCCAGCCACACGGCTCCCCCACACACAGCCTTCCGTGCTCGTTGGGGACCCGGTCTCTCGGAGCCATGGCCACTCCACAGCCACAGACCAGAGAGGGTGGGTGGCCAGCCTCGGGTCCCACAGAAAGCTCCGAGGCGGCCCAGCGGGGCCGGGGTGCCATGGCACGCCTCCCAAGCAGGGTGACCGTGAGGGCTCTTCGCTGTCCCAGAGGCACCTAGAAAGAGGGGCCAGGTCACGGGGGCTTTGAGAGGAGCCAGCCCGGACCCACACCCCCCATCGTCCTCCTGCCGTGTGAAGAAACAGGCCTGCCTTCTCTGCATCCAGGGGATGAGGGGGTGGTGACCTTGGATCCTGCGCTGCTGGGAAGTGCGGCCCCTGGAGGCCAGGCCCAGAGGAAGGTCAGCTTCAGGGCCTGGCGCGCTTCTTGGAGAGCTCGGCAGGACAGAGTCCCGGATGGGGTAGGGGTTCCTGCCAGTCCCAGCCCTGACCCCTGCCCCCAGCCCTTCTGAGGAAGGAAGGGGGAGCCTGCCCGCCCCCGTGACCCAGCAAGCCAACGCGGGCCACTTCAAGAGGAAGGGGGCCAAGCCTAGGTTTGGTAGGAGGTGCCCCAGAAGCTGCTCCCGCTTCCAGAACATTCCCCGGGACCCCCACAAGGTGCAGCCCTGACCCCTCCCCTCCCGCCAGGAGCTGCTGCGCCCGCCGCCTGCACTCACGGCCTCAGACTTTGATGGATGCGGGCGGCATCGCCAGCTGGTTCACCCTGGGGGAGAGACGGGCGGGGGTCAAGGTGGCGGATCAGCGGCGGCCGGGCCCGGGCACTGCTCTGGCACATCGCATCTCGGGGGCCGGCTGGCCGGACGTGCCGGGCAGGGACCTCGTCAGCCCCAGGGGAAGGTGGGAGAGCCCAGGGGTGGGGAGAGGAGAGACAGGAGTGAAGAGGAGAGAAGAAAGAAGTCAGAAAACCAGAGGAGGGTGCCGGGCACCGCGCAGCTCCTGCCCTGAAGCCCATGCCCCGTGTGCGCGCGTCTGCAGGCGACCGCGGCGGCCCCTCCCGCAGGCTGGGCGGCCAGGGGACGCTGCGCGCCCCCCGCCACCAGGTGTCCCACCCCGCCAGCAGGCCCGCCCCGGCCCACTCACTGCTGCTCAGCCTTGGCGCGGTCGCCGAGGAAGAAGAGGGCCGTGGCCAGGAAGAACATGCCGCCCAGGACCACCACGAAGGGGCAGAGCATGAGCGCGTAGCCCAGGCTCAGGAACTCCCAGAGCGGAGAGTCCTTGGTGCTCTGGCGGATCAGGTCCGAGATCTGTGGGGGTGGGAGCGTGTCAGGGGGCGCCTCCCAAAGCCGCCCCCACCCGGCCGTGCCTGCTACTCACAAAGCCGATGAGGTAGGGGCTCCCGGCGTCCCCCAGCAGGTGGGAGGTGAAGCTCTGCAGGGCGACGGCCGTGGCTCGTCTCGTGGGGATGACCACGTACTGTGCAAGAGGCAGCGGGTCAGAGCCCAGGGGCCACAACCAGCGGCCTCATCTCTGGGGTCACCGCACTCCTAGGATCCCACACCCCGGACTTCCCGGGGCCTCCCCACCCTGGCTGCTTGAGGCTCTGCCCTGGGCTTGTGGCGGGGACCCCATGCAGGGGTCGCAGGAAACGGAGGCCCGGCACACAGATGACACGTGGACTGTGGCAGCGCTGGGACCAGAGCCCGCAAGCTGAAGACCACGCCGGTCCCCGTCCACAAGGACACGGCGGGGCCTAGGCTGGCCTGCCTGGATGGCCTCCACTCCGACCCCCGGGTGCCCCCAGCCCCCAGAGCCGGGAGCCTCCCAGGCCAGGCAGGCCCTCCGAAGCCTCAGAGCAGCGGGGTGGGTGGCCGGCCACAGGGCCCCTCATTCCAGGGCTGGGGGAAGGGCGGCTGGTCCGATGGGATGGCGTGGCCCATTTCCAGCAGTGATTAGTCATGGGGCTGTGACACTTAATAAAATGGGACATGATTTCCCTGGGACCCCAGAGGCAGGCACGGGGGTCCCGCCCGGCGCCACAGACTCACTCCCTCCTTCACTCTCACCCCCCACCACCGGCCTGGCTCCCCGTGAGGAGGGGTCTGAGTCAGACCCCCCACCTCCTCCCACGGATGGAAGCCTGGCCCCCAGTGAAGCAGACGTGCAGGGGAGCTCAGGTGAAGCCGGGCAGGCTTCCTGGAAGAGAGCCGGCAGGACCCCCAGCGCCAGGCCGACTCTGATCTCCTGGGCCGTCCCATATGTGGCCCCAAGCCCCAAGGGACACTTCCCCCTGCCGCCCTGCCGCCCTGGCGGCTCCCAGACACGCTCCCCACCGCAGGCCCCACGCTCCCTTCTCCCAGCCCCTCCTGGCCCTGACCGGGAGGGCCCCCAAGGACGGGAGCTGCAGGCACCCCGCCCCTCAGACTGCCTGCTGCAAGTTATTGGGGCCACACCCCCTGCCACTGCTCAGACGGCCCTTTGTCCCTGGCTGGCTGGTCTGGCACCCATTGTTGGCCCCGTGAACACGGCCTCTGTCCGCCCGGCCCGGCCGCGGGCGCTCGGGCAGGCGCGCCTGGGCCCCGGGCTGGGCTGGGAGGACGGGGCGCCGGGAGCTCAGACCGGGGGAGGAGCTAGCCAGCAGCACCCCCTCAGGCCAGCCTGGCACTGCCAGCCTCCTGGCCACGCGGAGCCTGCGGACAGCCCTCTCCCCCCCCAGTCCCATCCCGGCCCTCTGCTTGCCCAGGCTTCTGCCTCCAGGCCGGCTGCCCCAGCTTGTCCGGCCTGCTGTCCACCCTCCACAGGCCCTGCCAGCCTCCCGCCCCTTCACCACCCTCTCCAAGGCTGCCCCCGGGGCCCAGAAGCCTGGGTCGGCCGCCTCACCATGAGGATGTCCGCGGTGATGGCCCAGTTAGAAAAGAGCAGTGTCTCCCCAACAAAGATGCAGATCTGTCCGGGAGAGACCAGAACAGACATCGCAGCCCTCGCCTGGCTGTTGGCAGGGAGCCCCCCAAGCCTCCCACCCCGCCCCGGGGTCTGCAGCGCCGAGCACGCAGGCTCACAGGAATTCGCAGGATACGGGGGACTTGAAGGTGTGCCGGTGGCCCGGAAGGACGCCCAGGGCCCTGGAGAGGCCCTGGACAGAGCGCGGACGGGTGGGCAGCGCACAGGAGCCAGACTGCACGTCCTCCGCCAGAGGCCGACCCCCACCCCACCCGTGCACCCCCCACTGCACTCACATAGGCACCCACGATGCTACTCTTGGCAGCCACGAAAATGAGGCAGATGAAGATGGCAGAGCCCAGCATGCCCACAGCACACACCAGCGGGTCAGCCCGCTGGGTCCGCAGGCGGCAGCAGCGTGTGGCTCCTGCCCCCGTGGCCACACCCAGAAAGCCAGTGAAGCAGGTGATGGCCCCGAAGATGAGGCTGTGGGGACAGAGGCAGGGGGCACGGCTCGGCGCGGGGTCAGGCTGGGCGGAGGGCGGCACTCCCGCACGGCACCCCTCGCCGCCCCAGCCCCCAGCCCGGCCCCACCTGTCCTTGGCCCCACACGGCGGGTTGCTGCACGTCTCCGCCACCTTCTGCACGACCTGAGCGCGGTGCAGGTACAACGGGATCCACATGCCCAGGGCCCCTGTGGCGAAGGACACGGCCGACGTGGCCAGGGAGGAGAAGACGTAGCTGCGGCTGAGGAGAGGCCAGGGCAGCGACACTGAGCGGGGCCCCCGGGGCCGCCCTGCCCGCCCCCTCGGGCTCGGGCTGCGGGAGTTAATACCCACCAGGGCCCAAGCACCACTCTCAGCACCCAGGGCCGCCCCCCGCCCCGGCCCCGTTCCCGTTCCCGCCAGACCCCTCCCGGCAGCACCCACTTGCGGATCAGGGCCTTCATGTCGCGGAGCCATGACGTGTGCACCTTGAGCTGCCCCCCGAGCTGGTCGGCGTGGCCTCTCTTGGTGGCCGGGACCAGGATGAGGATGAGCGTGCCTGTGATCATGCCCATGATGGGGGACACCTGGTGGGGCAGGAGCACAAGGTAGGACCCCAGGCCCCGTCGGGGCTGAGCCGCCAGGAGCTCCTGACGGGCCGTCCAGAGCAGGGGGCGGGATGGGAGGGGAGTGAACGATGGATGGAGGAGGGGGGCAGACAGACGAAGGCCCAACAGACTGCTGGATGAGTTAATAGGTGGAAAACCAGAAAGATGGCTGGAAAGACAGACAGACACGCAGAGGGACCGACTCTGGAACCATGATGAGGAGGGGGCCTGCGGGGGGGGCCTGGCGGGCACGGAGCTTCCCGCTGATGATCAGGTAGGTCATGGCTTGGGAGGGGCCCACGTGGTGTCCCGAGTGCAGCCCGAGGTCGGGAACAGAGCTTCCGAGACACCAGCCCACCCCCACCCCCGCTGGAGAGCAGGGAGGCCCGTCCCCCGCCCCCCGCCCCCAAGAGGTCTGCGAGCCCATGGGCGGGGGAGTTCCTCTCCATGTGCCTCATCAAGAAATTCCACGGAGGCTGCTTCCTTCCTGCTTTTGAGGAAAAAACACTTTGTCTTAAGCTTCCGCTCCTCCGCGGGCCTGGGGACCTCTGTTTCCTCTGATTGCACTGTCCTGGGGCCTTGGCAGGCTCGCCTGAACCCTCCCTCAGGACAGGAAGGGGCTCCAGACCCCGGGGGTCCCCACGCAGAGGCCGCGTCTCGGCCTCCCCCTAGCACAGGCCCGGGCTGGAACAGGACGCACCACTGCAGACCTGGACCGTCCTGACAGCGGGAGGGCATCCCTCGTCCTGTCTGACCAGGCCCCTGAGGCCGCAGGACGACCGGGTCTGGCTCCCCAGCGCCCCCAGTACACCGATCTCGGGGGTAGAGGCCTGGAGGCTGAGGCTCTGAGTCTCTGGGGGACCCTGGGCGAGGGCTGGTCGGGGGTGTCCTTACCCGCAGGGCCCAGTGCCAGTCTCCGGCCGCCTGCTTGATGCTGGAGCCCGTGATGTAGCCCAGGCCGCTGCCGAGGACACGGCGCAGGGAGTCAGGCCGCGCGCAGGGGCTGCTCACCAGGGTGGGAGGCAGGCCACCCCCGCCACCCCCCTGCTGGCCACCGCGCGTTTGGGCCGCAGAGCGCCAACCTCAGGGAGAGGCGGTGGTGGGACATCTGCGGGGAGCCGGGGGGAGCCTCACCTGCCCAGCGGGATGGCGAAGTAGAAGACCGAGAGCATGAGCGTGCGCGTGTTCTTGGTGAAGAGGTCGCCTATGATGGTGGGCGCGATGGTGGAGTAGCTGGCCTCGCCAATGCCCACCAGGCCCCGGGACAGGACCAACAGCCAGAAGTGCTGCGGGATGGGCAGACAATGCGGGGCTCATCCTCGGCCCCCACGCCGCTGCCCAGCCCCCGCGGCCCGGCAGGTACTGACCCCGGGCCTCGGCGGATCTGGCCGGGATTCCCACAGGTGGACAGCTGCAGGCGTGGCCCAGACAGACCCCTCGGTGTCCCCACTGCCTCCCCCCAAGGGCAAGACCTCCTCCCCGGGCTCTGGCCCCACCTCGGGAGCCGCACGTCCCACCCCCTGCCCCCGCCCCCAGGCAGGGCAGCCGGGCTGACCCTGGCAGCACGGGGGGCCCTGTGTGCGTGAGGAGCGGGCAGGGCAGCTGGTGGGCTCTGCGACCCCCACCCCCACACACACATCAAAGAGCGAAGCCCAGCTGAGCCGGGAAGGGTGAGGCTGTTCTAGCTGCCAAGGGTCCTCCCCCTATGATGTGGACCCGGCCCCTCCGTCCCCACAGCTGCCCAGGGCCTGAGAACCCAGCCTGGTCATCTTTCCCCGGCCCCACCCTGACCACCCATCCAGCCAGCTTCGCCCACATGCTGCCCTCCTCCAGGTCTCCCGCTTCCCTCTCTCCATCTGCTCATCTCCATCTAGGCCCGCCCCCTGCATGGCCGGACTGCCCATCCAGCCCTGCGCCTCGCACCGTCTCTGTGACCCCCACCTCCTCACCTCAGCCCCTCTCTCTGGGGCTCAGCTGCCCACTGCCTTTGCCTACTTTGCTGTTGGCTGGCTGTCTTATCTTGATTTCTATGAGCTTTTTAGGTATCGTGGGTATTGACCCTTTATGACATATGTGACGAGCGCCGTTCGTCACCTTCCCTTCCACTTTGTTCGTGGGGTCTGTCTGATCCGATGCTGTCCAGCCTGGTGATTTTCCCCTGATGGCCTCTGGATTGCACATCTTGCTCAGGAAGGCCTGCCCCCTCCCCAAATGATGACAATATTCCTTAATGCATCGTTTGCTAGGTCTTAGAAATTTCCTCGTTCTCCTTGGTATGAGAGCGCGTGGACAGTCCCACGCCTCCCCCAGGAGCCCGCTACATGGTGCGTGCCTTACGCCGTGGCCTCACAACGAGCAGCACTGTGTCCCCCGCATGCTTTCAAAACATGCACCCCAAAGGGACCATTCTGTGCCCTCTGCCCCACACCTTGCTTTGCCCTCATTCATGTGTTCCCGAAGCCCATTTATGCTGCTCGATGTAGATGCAGTTCATGCCCCGGCTGCCGAGAGTCTCACAGCAGGAACGCACCTGTTTCTTCTGCGCATGCCCCCTCTTCTGCCACGAGACCATCACAAACGCCGTGGCACGCGTGCGCCCTGTCCGTGGGACGGAGGGGCCAGGTCCACATCACAGGTCCCCACATCCTCTCTGGGGAGCGCACCTCGCGGGGGGCGGCTGGGGCGCACGCACCGAGGCTTCTGCGGAATCCTGGCGCTTTGCTCTCCAAAGAGGCCCCGCGGCCAAGTCACTGCCTTTGATAACACTTGAATCGGCAGCCCTCCTAACTGTGGCCCATCTGATGGATGTGAAATGGCACCTGTCGTGGCTTCGGTTTGACTTTCCCCAGCGGCTGGAGTCGAGCACCATCTCCTCCTGCACTTGCTGGGTTCACCACCCTTTGCCCACTTTCCTGCCGGGTTATTTGGCTTTTTTCTTGCGGATTTACAGTTCTAGATTCTTATACTTCGCTTTTTACTTCACTTTCACGTGTCTGGAACTGGTTTTGGACTACGGTTTATCTTTCATCCAGACGGACAGGCAAAGCTGCTAGAGCCGCCTGTGGCGAACCTGTGTTGGGCCCCCGCGGAAGGGCTTCACGGTCAGCCCACCGTCGGGTTAGAACGGCGCTCCATGAGGACCCACAGGGCGAGCCCCTTCCACGGGCATTTCCCCTGTGTTCTTGGCTGTTGCTGGGCATTTCCTCTGCCAAATCAGCTTCAGAATCACACTGCCGAGGCCCAAGGAGAACGCGCGCGGAGCTGGGACTGTGAGTGCAGGGAGTCCACAGACTAACGGGAGGGGGCGGGGCGGGGGATCGTCTTTCTGCCTCCACCGGCCCGCCCGCACCCCCAGAGCCGCTGGCATCACGGTCCTGGGCTTGCAGCTCCGTTCTGGAAGTGGCACCCAGGGTCAGAGGGCCAGGGGCCTGGCCAGTGGGAGGGCGAGGCCCAGAGGGCCCCAGAGGCGTCTGGTCCGGGCCCCATTTTTGACTGTGGCCTGAAGCCCACCCAGGCCTGATCCTCCTCCGTGAGGCTGTACCCAAACCTGCTGGTTCCTCTCCCCCTGCCTCCAGCCTCTCCCTGCTCCGTGTCACTCTGACTCACCCCTGCCCTCAGGAGGAAGACCAGACCCTCCAACCTGGCATTCGAGGCTCTCCGTGACCTGGTCCCTGCTTTCCTTTCGGGCCAAAACACTCTCCCCATTTGGGGACCCATTACTGCTTCCGTGGGTTTGCTCCCTCTGCCTATCCCACCCACCAAAAGGCCTCACCTCCCTGTCCTGCCTTCCCAGCGCAAATGTCACCTCCTCCAGGAAGCCTTCCCTGCCTCCATAGATTTGAAGAGACTACTGTCTCTTCAGCGAGGACTCTCAGCACTTTGTACATCGTGAAGGCTGTGAGCATGGGGACTCCCGTCCCGTCTTCCCATGCCCAGCCTGGGTGCCCCCAAGGACAGGCACAGGGTCTTCTCCTTTATGCCCAAGGCTGAAAGTGCTTGAAGACAGATCCTGGTCTTCTTCCTCCTCTGTCTCCCTCCACAGCCACCACCACGAGATCATCCTTCCTCAGCTTGAACACTCCTAGTGATGGGAACTCACTACCTCTCAAAGCAACAGGTCTCCCTTGCGGAAGAAAGAACAGAAACTATGATTTGTTCAATCTGCCGTGTTCCAGGGTCTGGGCACAAGGAAACTTCAGGCTGAGAAGAATTCTTTCCGTTTCACAGATGCAGAAGCTGAGGCTCTCCAGATCACAAGACTGAGCGGAAAACAGAGTCGGGACATTCAGACCCAGAACTGTGGGAGCCGAGGGAGAAACACCTTCCTTAAGTCGAGGTGATGCTTGCCACCCTCGGACTCTGACCCGAGCAGTTCGCTGGTTATTGCACAAAGAGCAAACTGTGTACGGGGTGCCTGGCTGGCTCAGTCAATAGAACACACATCTCCTGACCTCGGGGTCATGAGTTCAAGCCCCACGTTAGGCACAGAGTTTACTTAAAAAAAAAAAAAAAAAAACCCACCAGAAAAGAGCAAACTGTGCAAGGCGCAGAGAGGCATAGTGACTCACCTGGGGTCACACAGCAAGATGATGGCAGAGCTAGGACTAGAACCAGAGGGCCCTGACTCCTAGACTGGACTGGTTCTGCTGTTCCTCCCCAAATCAGAGGCAGCTCGGAAAGAGGAGGCCACACAGGGCTGCAAGTCCCCCCAGCTCTGGTCAGCACAGGGGAAGGCCCTCCCTGTCTGCAGGGCCAGCTTATAAAAGTACCCGAGACCCCTCATCCCACTGCACTTGGAAGACGCCGTCTGGGGCTCGAGCAAAGAGGATGGAACCCCAGGGTGGACGAAGACAGGTCAGTGAGAGTAGCCGGCACTGGAGGGAACAGGATGTGCGGAGGGCTGTGCGGGGAGGAAGCCCAACAGGCCTCACCTGCTGGGGGATGAAGGAGCTGGAGAAGGTGACTGCAGACCAGAAGAAGATGCCGCAGCTGAGGATCACTTTCCTGTTGAAGCGGTCACCCAGGTAGCCGAAGATGGGGGCAGCCACCATGAAGCTGCAGATGAACACTGTGCAGGAAGGGGAGAGTGTGATGGGCGGCAGGGTCCCTGTGGCTGCGCCTAGTGGCCCACACCGCCCCGCCTGAGTCCAGGGGCCAGGGGACAATCTTGGCTGGGGCCAGGGGCCCGCATCGCCCAGCCTGAGTCCAGGGGCCTGGGGACAACCTCGGCTGGGGCCAGGGGCCCACACCGCCCTGCCTGAGCCCAGGGGCCGGGGGACAACCTCGGCTGCGCCCAGGGGTCCGCACTGCCCCGCCTGAGCCCAGGGGCCTGGGGACAACCTCGGCTGGGGCCAGGGGCCCGCACCGCCCTGCCTGAGCCCAGGGGCCTGGGGACAACCTCAGCTGCGCCCAGGGGCCCGCACTACCCAGCCTGAGTCCAGGGGCCAGGGGACAATCTCGGCTGGGGCCAGGGGCCCACACCGCCCTGCCTGAGCCCAGGGGCCAGGGGACAACCTCGGCTGGGGCCAGGGGCCCGCACCGCCCTGCCTGAGCCCAGGGGCCAGGGGCCAACCTCGGCTGCGCCCAGGGGCCCGCACCGTCCAGCCTGAGCCCAGGGGCCAGGGGCCAACCTCGGCTGCGCCCAGGGGCAGAGGAGGCACCTGGGCCCAGGGGAGGGCGATCCTACAGCCTCACCCACTTTGCTGAAGGCCCAGCTTGTCCAGCGGGCGAGCCCTTGGGAGACCCGTGAAACAGTGAAAATCAATTTGTTGAGCATTTTACATGCCAGGAGTTCACCACCTGGCATTGTGTGTATGCTCCCAACCCCACCCCACCTTGCAGAAGTGGGGAGAGGAGACTTGCCCAAGGCCCCGCTGGCGGCAAAAGTCCTGTGGCGCTTTGCTCCCCTCTGACTCCGGAGCCCCTGTTCCTTGTACCTCTCACACTGCTCTCCTTATTACACTTGGGAAAGAGGGTCAGAGAGGGGAAGGGACCTGCCCAAGGTCATACAGCAAAGCCCCAGGTCTCCCACCCGCACTCCCAGCAGGCTGCAGGACGCCTCCCTGACCTCAGCAAACACGGTCTTTGTTCATTCACTCATTCGTCTGTTCAACAAAACAGAAATTCCTGCCCTCTTGGGCAGAAGAAACCGATGATAAAATGAAAACTGTGGTGTGTCAGACGGTGACAAGTGCTACGGAGGGTAACAGGGCGGAGACAGGAGACAGGAAATGTGTGTGAGGAACAAAGCAGAGGCTACAACTTTAAACAGAAGGGTCAGAGGAGGTGACATTTCAGCAAAGACCTGGAGGAGGTAAGGAAACAAATCATGCAAATATTGGGGCAAGAACAGCACGTGCAAAGGCCCTGGGGCAGGAGTATATGCCTCGCATATCTGAAGGACAGCAAAGAGGCCAGGGTGGCCGGAGCAGAGGGACGGAGTGGGGAGGCCAGATGCGGCAGGGCCTCCTGGCCCACTGTGGTGACCGTGGCTTCCGCGGCTGAGCAGGGCGGCAACCTGACCTGGTTTTGCTCTTCTAGAACAAGAGAGCGGCGGCTTGTCAGAGGACTCTGGGGATGCCAGTGATGGGCGGGGCCTTGGGGCCCCAGGTGGGGCGAAGAGGCCCAGCGAGGCAGGGTAGGCCCTAGGGGTCAGGGGGCAAGGCAGCTCCCCCATGCGTCCCCCTGGAAGGCAGTCTCACAGCTGACGGGCAGATGGCCAGACAATGGCCGAGGGTGGGCAGACGAGGTGGCCAGTTGGCTGGGCTGCGACCGCCAGGCTGAGTGCGCACGCGGGCTTGGCTTCTCCCTCAGACCTGATTCTGGCAGGCGTGGGCGGGAAGAGGAGAAAGAGGGGGGCGGGAAGGAGGGACGGGGTGAACGAGGGGAGAGGCCCGGGCTGGAGGAGGGTGATAGTCTCCCGCTCGTCCTAGTGAGCAGGACGGTGCCCGTGTGGCTGCTGGGGGCAGAACCGGCATCGAGGGGCGTGGATCTGGGCACCAGAGGCCCTGCCTGGGCGCAGAGTCAGCTCTCTTCCCCAGCTGGGTGACCCTGCGCAGGTCACCACCTCTCTGTCCCTCCGTTCAGTGCTGTGCTGATGTTTAACAACTGGCTCTCCCAAAAAGTGGGGGTGGGGGCCCCGATGGGTGGGGTTTGCCAGCTGGCGTGAAGACGCCCCCCGCGCTGACCTCAGGCCACCAGAGTCAGGAGGAGGCATGTGGTCACACAGAGCCGTGCCCACGCGTCCCTCTGCCGAACAGGTGCAAGGGCCGCGAACAGCCTTTTACCCTTTGATCGCCAGACGCCGTGAGGTGCTGGGGGGACGAGTTTTCAGTATTTACTACCTTGGTTTTGAATGTAAGACGTTTATGAGTTCACAAAATCCAGTGTTCGGTAATGCTTGTGGGCAATAGCCAGCTCACACCGTTCCTGAAAATCTAACAATCGCCTCCTCGTCTGTAAAATGAAGATAAAAATAGCAACTCCGGGGTTGCTCGGAGTGCGGGATAAGATAGCACCTAAGGTGCTTGACGCCAGGCCCCGCCCAGAGCCCGCAGCCTCGGTCAACACTGGGCCCTTGTTTAGATTAGTCAACACAGAAATTACTTCCTCATATCTAGAAAAAGAATTTTCCTGCTGGGCCTGCCTGAGATCAGACCAGGAGGTGGGCCTTGTCAGGACTCACAGGGGAAAGACTTGTTCCCTCTGTGCCTGTCTGTGCTGGGGGGGTGGGGGGAGTAGGCAGAAAAAATCAGAGTAAGAGTGACCCCAGTCCATGGGTTGGCCAGTTTGGAAACCAGCAAGGAGGGCCAAGCAGAGTGGAGAGAGGCTTCATGGAGGTGGGCACTGAAGGATGCATAGGAGTTTACCAGGATGATCATACTTAAGATCAAGACTATACACTAAACTATAAATCACAAGTCTTATAAGCAATTCCACGTGAAGGTTAGGTGGCAAGGAGCTTACTGTTACCAAGAACCTCAGCTGTCGTTACAGAACACTTACCGACCGCGGGTCCAAGCACACGCCCTGGACCTAAGCACCTCACTATTCTCTTCATCCCACAGGAGGGTACAGAGGCCGAAAGGAGTGATGTCACACAGCTCGTTGGGTGGCCGAGCCAGAGGTTAAACCCCATTTGTCTAACTCCAGGGTCCTCGCTCTAAATCACACTACAGACCGCAGCGAGGGGAAGGGGGACAGTAGGAAGGTGGGCCAGGCCAGAGCAGGGGAAGGCGCTGGAGGAGCCCGTGGACAACCACGGCATGTCTACTCTCCCCCTTCAAGGAGAGTGTGGATGGGCCCAAGGGGAGAGCCGCCCCAGGCCACCCCCACCCGCCACCCACAGCAGAGCTGACCCCTGGCTCTCCGCCGGCCCATCTAGAGAACGGCCGCCCAGGACTGCAGGTAAGTCTCCTGTGGGAGCAGGCGCACCCTGTCCTCACTGCCTGGCCCCAGCCGAGCTCCACCACGTCATCCCATTTTAGAGCTGGGCCACTGACAGGGGGAGGAACTCGCCCAAAAGGACACAGCGACCATCCTGACCCTGGACCCTCGGGGACAAGGGTGTCAAGGGTCAGGAGGGACAGCGATCGATCAGTCTGTGCAACCCTCCCCTCTGCTCGGGGCAGACAAGAGAGGAGACCTGTCCGGGCCCTCAGGACGTCACAGGCCAGCATGGGGGCCTGAACAAGATCAGGGCAGGGAGAGAAGGAAACCCGTTCCCGGCAGAAGGAAGGGCAGAGGACCTGGTACCTGGTGGGGGTGCAGAGGCTTACGTGGTCAGCGGCCACCCGGCTGGAAATAAACACAGCCAGGCTAGAAGCTTCCCCTGCCCCCCACCCCCAGCCCTGAGGTCTTTGTCGGAGGAGAGCTTTCTGGGCAGCCGGGCGGCCCCACCCTGATCTCGGTAGGGGCGGCTTTCCCAGCAGTTCCCACACGAGCACATCCTGTGGTCCGGGCGTGGGGAAGCCCTCGGCAGCTCACGTGTGCTGAGCCCGCAGGACGGGGACAATGGGGCCAGCAGGCAGGGAGCCAGGGCAGAGGGGGCAGGGCCTCGGAGCCTCTCTGTGGGATGGGTGGTGCCCCCGCCCCACAGGGCTGGGGAGAGGTCGGTAAGGGGCTGCCCAGGCTCCTGAGCCCCAGGGGCAGCATGCTGGCTGACGGCCTTCTCTGTGGACCTACAGAGCGGCCCGCATCCAGCAGCCCAGGACCACCTCGCTGAGGACTCTGCGCCCCTCCGACCCCACCTGTGGGGCTGCCGAGCCCCTCCTGGGGCACACTTGGCCCTGTCAAACCCCGGAAGATGGTCCTGGAGATGGAGTGGCTGAGGTCTGAGCTGGGGGACCCCTGGGCTCCCCCACAGTGGCCTTGGAGCTCGGGTCCAGCCCCGACCTCAGCCTGAGCTGAACCAGGGCTATTTTTACAAAGTCCAAATCTGGCCAAACTGTTATTTGGGGAGACTTGCCATCCTCCATCTCCTGTGGGCAGGGAGGGTTACTCAGGCAGGCTCTGCCCACAGGACGTGGAGGATGGACACCCAGGCAGCCGAACGACGGGGAGGACCCAGGGCAGCCCAGCCACCTCACCCACCGCTCAGGATGGAAGCCCTGGGCTGGCCCCTCAGGCCCCAGGGCGATGAGTTCTTAGGCCTCCGTGGGACAGGACGGTCCTGGGGGTACAGCCCCAGGGGTGGCCCAGCTACGGCCTTGCTGGACAAAGTGGGGAGGGAGCAAGGCCAGAAGGAGACGGCCCCAAAGAAGAGCTGCCGTCTGGTTTCAGTCTGAGCTGGCTCTTCCTCTGTCCCCACTCTGCCCCCATCCCCAGCCTGGAACATCCTCGTGACCACTCCAACCACAGCCCCGAGCTGCCTCCCCTCTCCCATCCACCCCCACGCTCCGCCCCAGAGAGAACATCCTGATGCATACATCCAACAGGGACCTGCCTGCCCCAAAGCCTTCTCTGGCTCCCCACTATCCCAAGACAAAAGCCAGATGCCTTTTGCAGCGCGACCCTGCCCCCTGCCTCGGCTCTCCCCACACTCCACTCACCGGAGCCTTCACTCTCCCTCCCCTTCCCTGGACCTGCTGCTTTCCCCAGACCCATCTTCTGATTTACTAATTTTCTCTTCGACTGGGTCTAATGGTCACATTGTTAAATTTCAGCGCTTACACGTTTCAGTTCCAGAATCTTGAACTGAGGTCTCTGAAGCGTCTCCCCTGCTCTTGTTCACTAAGGTGCTCTTCCCGTCTTGTAAGTGCCACGCTTCCTGTGGAACTCTGGAAACTAAGCTCACATAGCACTGAAGCCCTAAAGGCAGATCAGGGACCGGTTTCCCCATTCTCCAGCGCCGGCTGGCCTCCTCCTTGTGGGCTCTGCTCATTTTCCGTTTGAGTTTGTCCTCAGTAGACACCGCTATCTGTGTCCCATGCAGGCCCCAGATCACGACCCCGAGGAGCAGCCCTAGATCGGCCTCTGCGGGGTCCCTCGTGTGGAAGGGCCCGGAAACCCTCCAGCTCTCTGCAGAGAGCCCGAGCCAGATGGACATGTCCCCTCAGAGACAGAGAAACTGCCACTGGCCCTGGGGGCACAGCCCTGGGCTCTGGGGGGGGAAACCAAGTCACCCATGTGACGCTGGAAGCCAAGGCTACACAGGCCCATCCTCAGAGCAAAGAAACCCCGGAGCCTGGACACTGGGCCCGAGTGGGCGACAGCTCCGTGGAGATTCATCGTGCTGCTCTCTCTCTTTCTGTGTATTTAAAATTTCTCATCGTAAAAATGTTTATACTAAAAATACCGTAACAAGCTCCTATGACAGATACTGGTCCCCAGGCTCTCTGCAACACTTGGCTTGAATACCGGCGCCCACTCCTGTTTTTCGGTTCAATTCTCTGCTTCTGGCACCTGGGAATTCCCCTGCTAGCTTGAGCTTTCAAGCTCAGCTATGTAATTTAAATGTTTTCTTGGCATATTTTCTCCAGCTCGGAGTGGGAGAAGGAGGGTGACTGGACGTCCTATACCCCGAACAAACTCTAACTCATCCTTCAAAGCCCCACTCCAATGTCCCCTCCTCGGGGAAGTCTTACCCACCTGCCGCCAGGCAGAGCACCCCCCTAGGCCCCCACGGTGCCCCGTGCCTGGTGGTGACGGGACACGTTTTCCATTCCACTGATAGAGGGAACGTACTGGAATGTGGGGATGGAGTCTGTGGCAGAGCCCAGCCCAGGGCCTGGCCAGCAGTGGGCTCAGCAGCAGCTACCCCTTTGGGTGTAGGCTCTGGAGGCTCCTGGTTTCCCAAGACAGCAAGAGCCGTAATCACAGAGGCTGAGCTCGGCTTCTGCAGGGACTCTGGGCCCAGCTCTGAGCTGGCCACGATCTGCTAGGGGATTGCCGAAGGCAGGCTCTTCCCAAACCAGCTCTCAAGATCTGGTCCCAGGAGAAACAGCAGGGACAGGCCCAGGCCTGACCCTCAGCACCCCCACCCCACCCCGTCTCCGGGCACAGCAGCCCCTGGTGCCCACTGATGAGCAGAAAACCCGGCCCTCAGCCTCGTCCTTTGATCTGCGCAAACCGCAGCACCTGGCTGGCGCCCTCCACCCGGCTCCGACCTTATCAAGGGCTTGGGGAAGAGACAGGTGCCTGGGGCCCAGGCCAATTAGCTGATCTGCCTGGTTGCCCACTGAGTCACATCCTGGTCTAGCTGGCCTGGCTTCTGGGCTCCGGTGGCAGCCTGGCTGCACGGGGGGTGGGTTGTAGGGTGAAGGCTGTGGGGTAAGGGACTCTGAGATACCACGACCCAGAGGCAGCCACCCTGAGGACAGAGACACCAGAAGCTCAGACACCTGGGACAGGCCTCTCCAAGCCACTGGCCGCCTGTGTGCCACACACACCCGCCCCCCCAGCCAAGAAGATAGCATACACAGAGTTCCCATCCCAGGCCCGCAAGTCATCACTCCTCCCTCAACCTCTGCCCCTTCGTCTGAGAAGGAAAGCTGCAAAGGAAGCTCCTGGGAGGAAGAACCAGAGAGGAGCATGCTGCTGGCTCTTTTGTCCACCTCCAGTCAGGTCACCAGGGGTCAGCCGAGGCCGCCGTGACGTCTCTCTCTCAGCCAAGAAGGTGGCTGTGGACATAAGCCCTGGGAGCCTCACCACCTCCCACCCCTCCCCGGGAGCTGCGCCGGCCCTGACCCCACTGGTGGGGTTGAGTGGAGGAAGCTGGGGCAGATCCTGGCTCCCTGTCAGGCGGCAAGGCCAGGAGGGGATGAGACTCGGCTGGGTCCCCAGGGACTCAGGGGCCACGGAGGGAGGGGGCTGGAAAGCTGGGCTCTCTCCTGCCACCCACCCCCCCTCCCCTGCCATGCTACATCTGGCTGAAATGCTCTCTTCCAGGCTGAGTGGCAGTTACCTTGTGCTCAGAGCCCAGGAGGCTGGAGGCACCTGTCCTGGGGCAGGCTGCCTGGCTCTGGCCCAGCAAGGAGGCCCTGCAAGGGGGGAAGGGCCCGGGACAGGTCTGGGCTCCTGTCCTGGGTGGAGTGATGTGGGCAGAGGCAGGGACTGGTCACCCTGCGGGTGCTGGACCACACGGCCCTGCCCCTGTCCCAGCTCACTCAACTGTCTGTTGGGGCTGAGCCCTGAAACTCGCATACCCTCTCTTTGAGCCCCAAGGACCCCACCTGGGGACGGGCACAGGCTGCAGGGCCTGGCTGAGCCACGGTGCTCTAGGAGCTCACGGAGGCCGCAGAGGCCTGGTGCAGCCCTCCCTGGAATGCTGCCTAGACAGGTCAGGCAGGTCCCTGGACAGAGCCAGCTCCCTCCACCCTCCCTCCCCGGGGAACCCAGGCCAGGGAAGGGGTTCACACACTGGAATGCAGACCATGGACTTCCTCCCACACGTCCGACCAGGCCTCACAACAAATGGACTCCAGGGCCAAAGAGAATCGGAGCCAAAGGAACCGGGCCCTTGGCCACACAGCAAGCTTGGGGCCACGGAGTGGGTTGGGCAGGGACCAAGAAGGCATGGGCCTGCCGCACGGGGAGATAGGCAGGGATGACTGCTCACGGCCCGCCACACTGCCCCAGCCCAGAGGGCAGAGGACCCAGGCTCTCAGGCTCCTGCCCGGGGACTGACCAAGGGGATTTCCTGCTTTGACATCTAGGAGAGGGTCCCCAGCCTGGTGGCGATGGAAGCTTTGGCCAGGGTGGGGGGTACGGAGACAGGGTCACCAAGGCCCCCTGACTCCGTCTAGCACAGCAACCTATGGAGCTCCCTCCACCAGCCTCAGGGTGGGACCTGGACCTGTGGGTCCTGATGAGGCCCCAGGACCCAAAAAGAAGGGTCACCTCTAGGGCCGTGGCCACACTCCTGTACACCTCCCACTGCCCCCTCAGCCTGCCGTCTAAGAAAGCACACGTTCTTTCCAGTCCTTCCCGGCGAGTCAGGAGGAGACCAGCAGGGAAGGGGCCTGGCAGGGGTGGGGGGCCTCACCTGACTGCAGCAAGCCGGCGCCTCGGTCCTTGACCCCAAAGTGCTGCTGGATGTCCAGAAGGACGCCTGGGAGGGGAAGACAGAGGGTGCTTATGTGTGACGCCTGGCCTCCCCTATCCCCCCAGCCCACCTAGGAGACCCCCAAGCCAAGCCCGGCCCTCGGTCCCCCTGGCAGGGCCCAACCTGGCCCCATCTACAGGACGCCACTCTGCCCAGTTTGCCAGGCCACCGGGGACTTTGCAGCCTGAGCTGCCATGCTGCCCCCACGGGGCCTCCCGTGCTCACTCCCAGGATAGGGTCCCACCCTCTCACTCGGCCACTGCAGGGGCCTGAGGCACACAGGGGCAGGGCTCCTCTGGGGTCACCTGGCTCTGTGAGGTAGCCAAACCTCCCACCGGCCAGCGTGGAACTTTTGCCCACCTGTGGCCTCACTGCAGCTTGGGTCCTGCCCTCGGAGAGGCCACAAAGCCCCTGAGAACTGCCAAGAGGCCTTCCAGCTGGGGAGCGGGCAGAGAGGTCACAGGCAGGGCTCACACCTGCTCACGGGCACGTGCACACGCCCACCCAGCTGTCCTCGGGGTTATCACCAGGACCCCCAATTTTCTGATACCAGAGCAGAGGTGCAGAAGGAAGCAGACAGGGCTCCAGGCTTCTTCGGGGGAAGGGGACCCCTGAGGCCATGCCTGCCCTTCTCCCAAGTCCTGGCCATCTCTGCTCTCCCATTAGGACTGGGCATGTCGGGGGGTTTGGGGGGGGGAGCAGCAGAGCAGGAGGGCAACCAGAAGAACTAGAAGTCAGCAACAACCGTGCGCAGACAGAGCCATGGCCGCATGGGGGCCAGCAACCCCCTGGACGCCCCTCCCCTCTCCCAGAGCTCAACCAGGCTCCTGAGCAAGCTCCCAGCCCTGCAGGCCCCAGGGGCTCCCACCTCGGCTTATCTCTGAGGACAGCAGGGGGCTAGGTACCCCCGGACCCCTGCACATGTGTACGGAGAAGGGAGAGGGGAAAAAGGAGGAGGGGACGGGGCAGGCTGCCCCGGACGCCCCCCATGCAGGGGACCGAGGAAGGGACCGGGCCTGTCTTCGGGGGATCCCCAGAGCTCATCATGATGATAGTGACGAGGATGAAGATGGTGCACATCTCTCAGCCGTAACTGCTTTCCTGGTTCGAGCCCCACGTGACCCCATGAGGCCGGGACTATTCCCCCCTGGACAGACAGGGAAACTGAGGCACGAGGGGTTAAGCCACACGCCCCAAGTCATAGAGCAGGAAAGTGGGCAGAGTGGCACCCCCAGGCCTGCGGGAGGCTCCCGTTGGCGGCTGTCCTCCTGAGAGCCTTTTCCTGGGATGAGGCCTGACAGCAGGGGACACTGGCCTCCTCCTTGTGAATGCCGAGGATTTACCATAATTACCCATAATGAAGAGGCTGTGTGAGGCCCAGGTAATGACTTAATAACCGAGGCGGGCTGAGGCCATGCCCCGAAGGTGGAAGCCAGGGGCCTGTCCTGGGCCACCAAGTGGGCCCAACCTTGGGGAACCACCTGCACTCCCCTCCTAGCCCCAACCCGCTCGCTCCTACTGCTGAGCAGGGGCCTGCGTTCCCCACCCTCTCTCACGCCGTCAGCCTCAGATGAGGACCCCAGCCTTCACCAGGCCACAGGCTCCAGCCACCCAGACTATTCACGGCCCCCCGACTGCCCACCCGTCCCCGTCTACCCTGTGGGCTATTGTGGCCACTCCTTCAAGACTAGTGCAGGCGCCTCCTCTTCTGGGAAGTCTTCCCGGTTTCTCCCCTCCCATCACCCTCAGTAAGTCAGGTGGCCCCACGCTCCCCTGTCCATTCTTTAGCACTCGTCACCCGAGGATTAGCGAGTTCTACAGGGAAGACGTGTAGGGACATGGATACGCGCTCCTTGGGTCCACTGGGGCTACGACCTAAGAGCCACCGCTTGTGGTCGCTGCTAAGGTCCAAGGACCGTGGGAGGCTCTGCAGATGCTCCTTCTATCCTGTTGCTGCCTAGGATTTTCGGCCCCACGTTACGTGTCCCATGTGTCACACAGCACGTAAGGGCCCGAGAGGAGACTGGAAACCAAATATGTTCTTCTGCCTCTGCATGTCCCTCGCTCTTGTCACCCCCCCAGCCCGGGGCCCGGCGCCCAGCCAGCCCACGGCGGACGCCTGTGGACAGAGACGGGTGGGCGCGGGGACGCGTAGGAGCCACTGCAGAGCTGGGTGGCGGCAGGTCATCTGCAGAACCCAGAGCAGAGAGGTCACACGTTAGGTGTGCAGCTGGGCAGCCTCAGGAGGGCAGGACTCCCCCTGGGCCCCCGGGCACAGCCAGGAGGAGGGCAGCGGGTTCACTCCGGGGGAGCCAGCCACATCAAAATGGTCATTGTAAAGACAGCATGTGTCCCCAGCAAATCAGAGCACTCTTGCTTCTTCGCCGAGACACAGCCTAGCCCCCCCGACGGCCATGCTCCGCCCCGGCAGCTCCCCAAGGCCCAGGGCTTGCCTCCCCTGATACACACAGCTCCCGGGAGGGGGAGGACGCTTCACATCCAGATGCACGTCCTGGGAGCTCTGGGCAGGCCAGACCCCAAGACAGAGGACCCCAGTACCCCAGAGTCCAGGCTTGTGTCCGCAGCCTGGGATCCAGGAAGAACCCTCCCTGGGAACAGGGCCTCACTGAAGCTGTAAGGGGCTGTTCTCCCCCCCGAGCAGCCAGGAAGGGGCCACGGCCACAGGCAGGCGGGATCCACTGGCCGCTGGCTCGGGAATCATGTGTCACAGTGGCTTGCCGGTCGTCTCGGATTTTCCTCTGGGCCCCAGCCTGGCTCGGGCCCACACACCCCTCCCTTCTTCCCACCACAGCCTTATTTTTAGCCTCTTTCCTGGAGGCTGAGGTTTGGTGGGTCACAGGACGGGCCTCCCGCCCAGGAGCAGCCTCCGACAGCCCAGGCCAAGCCCTCCACCAGCCTAGGGCGTGCAAGGTGGGGCCCCCAGCCACCCCATGGCCATGGTTGCCGGGCCGGCCTCTCCCGATCTACGGCCAGGGTCATCCCCACAGGGGCCTCCTCCCTGACCCAAGAAAATGTTCTGGAGCAGCAGAAGCGCTGACCCCCAGTTACACCCCTCCCAAGCCCCAGGGGTCTCGCCTCTTGTCCAAGGCCAACTGTCCCTCCTGCCTCCTGGGGACTCTGCCCTGGGGCACCCCTGGCCTGGGCCTCACTTCTGCCCCCTGCACATCAGCCCACACACGTGCGCACCCCTCTCTCATCCCGGTGGTGACAACAGTCCTGACTTCCCCCCTCTGCCAGCCCCTCATTTTCTCTCCCGCCTTCATAGCTGAAGTCCGTGAAAGAGCCCCCCCAACTCAGTGTTCTCCCCTCCATTCACTCCCCTGAAACCAGCCCTCCCGGAGACTCGGCCCCACACCTCCTCCCCATTCCCAGAGCGGCCCTGTGGCGCTCCCCAGCCCACAGCCCCCTCGCTCCTGCAGCCCCATGAGCGGGTCCCAGAGAGTCCCCCTTCTTCCACACCGGCCTCCTCCCACAGCCCTCGTGCATTATCCCGTCCCCCTGAGGCCCAGGCTCTGGGCTCAAGGAGCTGATGCCGTGGCCCAGCGGCTGTCAACTGTGGCAAGAACTCAGACTCACCGTGGGTTCTTCAAAACTCACTGGCCCGACCCCAGGATCAGTAACACTACCAACCCCAGCGCTACCTGGATTAGCTCCCTGAGGGTGACGACTGTCTCCTGCCAGCCCAACGACGCCCAGACTTCCAGCGTGGGAGGCCCCCATGACCCAGGTCTGCACAACCACCTGTCCAGAGGGGAGGCCCCAGGACTCACGAACTCGAAGCCGCTGGCCTGGCCGGTCCAAGGCTCCTGGGATGTGCGCGTCACAGCCTGCAGGCCTCTGAGCCTTGACGACAGCCAGGCCCCCTTCCTGGGGGGCCCCCTCCACCCGTATCCAGGGCCCAGACCCAAGGTCACGTCTCCCAGAGCGCCCCCCGACTCCCTCCCCCGCAGCTCTTGAGGAGGTGTCTGTAACCTCGAGAGCTGGCTGGTCACGGATATTCGTGGTGTCACCCCACCCCATCCCTGCCGGCCCCCCGGTAGACCGCAGGGAAGCCAGGTCCAGATCCTGACCCGCTATCAGGGAGGTCTCACCAAGGCCAAGGTAGAAGAGGAGATCACCCGGACCTTGGGAGCCCCTGGCCCAGACCAGCCTCAGATGCAAGGCTGGGACGACGTGACCCGAGGTCTCTTCCTGCCTTGTCAGACAGGGCTGGCACGCCCCCAAACACAGGCATCGTCACCCTGCATTCACCCCGCCTTTCGGAGCCAACTTAGCTGAACTCCCAAGAGCATGGCCTCCAGAGGCCAGCCGTCTGGCCTTGTGTCCGCATCCCACTCACCTGCTGTGTGACCTTAGGCACGTTACTTAACCTTCTGTGTCCCTATCCTCCTCTGCGACGTGTCTTAATTTTAAGATCTGCTTCATATGGTTGTGGAGTTTAAATGGGTTAATCTATAGAAAGTGCTTAGAACATTGCCTGGCACATAGTAGGTCGTCAGTAAATGTTCTAAAATGTCATCAGGGATCACTAACTCGTGGGGCAGGAGCAGAGCTAGGCCATGACCGGAGAACAGGGCAAACCACCCCCTCACCGTTCTTTTCTCCAAAATGGGGCAGACGGCTGGAAAGATGGGCCTAGGGACGTGAAGGGATGGGCCAGGCCTGCCATTGGCTGGTCCGTCTCAGACGGACTGGGTCCTCTGTGGAGGCCTCAGAGCTGGCCTGCTCCGGAGGAATCACCCCTGCTCCAACACTCAGCCACAGCTCTCGCCCCGGTAATTACAGGAGCCGGAAGGCCTCGCTCTGCTGACCTGGCTCTGGATGGCTAGGGCTGCAAGCCACAGGCTGGCCCTGCGGGCACCACCCCCCACCAGCCCGAGGGGACCGGCCAAGGCAGTCCCTGAGCCAGGACCCGCTTTCACACACACTCACTTCTAACCTGCCCCAGAGCTTCCGTGGGGCCACAACATCCTGCCCCCATCCCC